TTGTGTCAGTGTGACTCTTGTGTCAGTGTGACTAGCTAATGTACACTTTGAATTCCTTCTTCCCCTTTTTTGCCAGTTTAATACTTCTAAGCCCCGTTGATTGTTATGATATAGAAAATTGAAAGACAACTGTTGTTTCTGCATTTAAATGTATGTATAGGTGCCAACACTGGTTTCTCTTTTGGATTACCTCTGTCCATGGAATACATTTGCCAATATCTACCTTAGAACAATTTGTGCAAGAAATATTATGAACTCAAAATTATTGAGCCCTCTTCAAGGCAAACAATTAATATTGTATTAAAGTTTTTAAAAATCAGTTATATGTTGCGGTAAATGATTATACCTTTTCTTTCAAGTGCCCTTTTCTTTTTAGATGTATAACTATGATATATAACTCCTTTAAAAGGGCCATAGAACTGGGGCTTGCAACAATATTTGACAGTGTATCCTTCCATCCTTCTGTTAGGAATGGCCCTGTTCAAGGATCCAGACAGCCATTTTCTTTAAGCAGGGCATTCCACACCCACCCATCACAGGTTTTCTTTTTCACTTTTCCAGCTGGCCTACCTTGAATATTGAGCAAGTTCACTGAGCTTATTTTGAAGTTTGGGATGGTGGGAGGACTGCCCAGTTGGGACAGAACCTCTGCACATTCCCTGAATATGCCCCTTTTTCCCACTTATTTTCCTACGACTCCCAAACCAAAGTCCATATCTGAGTTGGTTAGTAAAAATGAGGTTTTTTTTAACATGGTTTAATTTCTATTTTATACTGTTCTCTCTCTCTCCCCCTCTCTGAATATGGGTTCAGCAGCAGCCCTGGTATCCAGCAGTCCAGTTGTAGAATTTTGGGTCTCTCTAACAAGTGTTCAAGCAGCAGTTCAAGCGAATCGGACAGCAGTTCAGAATCTGATTCGGAGAGCGAAAGCAGTTCCACAGAAAGTGACTGCAAGAAACCCTCACATTGTTCCAGCCCAGAGGTAATGAGTTTCATCCCAGTTAAAATCTAATCTTAATTTCTAAACCAGTGGAACTTTTGTACAATAATGTGTTTGGGACCAGAGAGCTTTAATGCAATGTTTTGATGAGAGACTTTTTTTTTAAATATGAAAGTGTTAGCTGCAGCACAGTGTGACATTTTAGGCAGTTAAGAAAAAAGACTTACATTGAAATAGTCTTTCCAGACCCTATACGGCTTTTTAAAAAAGCAAAAGCTATTGTGTGAAGCTTGGAGTAAATGGGTCCTTTTTGTGTTCTTTAAAGCATTGCTAGATTCCTGACACTGATGCTCAACTCAGATAGGTGAGAAGGCATTATATACATATTAAATGCTAGTGGTTGTGAAGGAGGTCCGCCTGTTGCTCAATGTCATGACTGTGAGTTTGTCATGAACATGGTTGGCTGAAAGTTAACTGCATACTGAATGGTCATCAACAGCCCAGGCTCAGATCTGAGCAGGTACATAAAGCTACTGCTACCAGATTACCCAGGCATTGCAAAGAGAGTTATAGACATGGGTTATGATACCAGTGTCTCAGCTAGAATTAATTATGATTCCCTCCTTTAATCAACAAATCTAGAGGGGATAGAAGAGTACTCCTCATTCATAGGGATTGATTCTGTTGTCTAAACAGGCATTCTTCCAAATTTTTATCTTGGTTTTCTGTCCCATGCCTTCATTCTTCTTTCCTGTCTTGCCTCAGTTTCTGCCACCTCTTATTTCATGTTTCATTTTTTTTTTTTTTTTATCCGCACTCAATCGTGACCGATTCTGCAGCGACTGCCTGGACGAGTCTCTGCAGTTTTCAAGGCAAGGTGTTTTGGAAGTGGTTTCCCATTGCCTCCTTCCTAGAGCGAAGCCCAGCTGGCAAGCGCAGGAGGCGGGGTTTCCATTGCTTCGCGCCTTTTTCGGGCGTGCGCAGCTTCCACGTTACCAGCAACAGGTCCCGTCTCCCGTGCAAGGCGCCGCCAGTGTTTTTCCTCCCACCAGGGTGAGAGTCCCCATTCATCTACTCACGGGAGTTTTTCGAGCTGCTGGGCTGGCAGAAGCTGGGGAGGAGACAGGAGCTTACTCTGCTGCACCAAGCTGGACTTGAACCACTGAAGTGTCGGCCATTTCTAGCCGGCAACTTTCAGCGTCATTAGCCAGTGTGCCACCGCATCCCCTTCATGTTTCATAGCCCACCTATTTTTCTTTAAGGCTCCCTTCTCAGTTCAGTGGCTGCTTTGCATCCTTCCTGCACCTTCCTTGCCTCTGGATTCATTATCTTCACCTTTACCACTTCCCAAAAAGTAGGGCTACCAGATCTGAGTTGCAAACTCCAGATGATGGGAACAAGAGTGACCTTTTTTATGACAGATGTTAAGCGAATCACCACAGTTGTTAAATGAATCACATAGTTGCTAAGTGAATTTTGGCAAAAAAGTCCATTGGGGAAGCTGGATTCGCTTAATGACCACGTGATTTGCTTAACAACCGCAGTGATTCACTTAACAACTGTTGTAAAAATGGTCATAAAATCAGGTCTGGTCATTTGGTGACTTGCTTAACAACCACCCTGCTTAACAACCAATTTGCTGATCCCTATTGTGGTTGTTACGTGAAGACTATCTGTATTTAGAAAACACTCTTCAAAGATAACATTCCTGAATATGAAGTTTAAAGTTTTGAAAAATATTTCTTAATATTGTAAATGTTTTCAAAAAGATGTCTTAATATTGGAAATATTTTCAAAAATATTTCATAATATTGTAAATATTTTAAACTCTTAGAAGTGAATCCAGATCAAAATAAGAATAGACCCATAATCATCATTGGTTCAACCTGGACTGTTTTCATCTGTTTTATTTGAATTGCTTATTGTTACTTTACTTGTTATTTATTTCTGTAAACTAACTTTAAGTCAAAAGGCAGTTGTAAAAGCAATAATAAGATGTTTAAAATCTGCAAGTATATTATAAATTTGCATTGCATGTGTGTCCAGTATCCATTTCTAGCAAGCTACACTTCAGTGCTTTAATCTGTTGCTGTCTGTTGCCATATTACAGGCTCACTACAACTCATCCTGTTTAATGTTTTTGAGCATTAGAAGCTAGGGAAATCAGGCTTCCTACTGGGAATGTCAAGGTCTGCTGCAGTTACCTCTAGATATAGAAGGACTGCATCAGGCCAAGTACACACAGTGTACCCAAGAATGAAAAGGCCACTGGGAAGCCCAGAACAACTACTTCATCTCCATTAGATGAACAGCAGAGATAATTTTTACTTTGGGCTTTCAGCAATTCATGTAATGTTCACGTAGTCAGAGGCAGGAAAATTGTAAGAAATTATAAGTGGAGGGAGGTATCTAACACTTGCAGAAGTGAGCTGCTGAGCAATAGCATGGTGAGTACAGTTGTGTTGGAAACCTAACATTTTATGTTCCTAGAAACTTAAATTGTTTTATCATTATCTGATAATAATCAAATTGACTTTCTTTTTAAAATGGCAGAGTTTTATATGCTGGCCATGCACTGAATCAGCAGTTCTTAAGGGTATACCAAAGAGGTTCCCAAGAACGTTTAAGAGTAGAGTATTGTAATACGTTGAGAGCCAGTTTGGTGTAGTGGTTGAGGCACCAGACTAGAAACTGGGAGACTGTGAGTTCTGGTTCTGTCTTAGGCACAAAGCCAGCTGGGTGACCTTGGGCCCTAGGAAGAAGGTAATGGCAAAACACTTCCAAAATTTTGCCAAGAAAACTGCAGGGACTCGTCCAGGCAGTCACCAGGAATCAACAATGACTCCAAGGCTCAAAAACAAAATTGTAATATGTTGTGGGTTTTAAACTTCATTTTCTAGCCTGAACAGCCGTCTCCTAACAAGTGGCAGTTGGATAAATGGTTAAATAAGGTTAATCCTCATAAAGCCTCTGCTTTGAACCAAAATGGATTGGAGGCCTTTCAGTATTACAGCAAACTAAAAGAAGAAAGGCAAGACAGTGAAAATGTCCCACCCGTTGGCCAAGCCAGTCTCCAAGAAAAAGATATTAAGAATCCTAGCAGAGAGGAACTGAGATCTAGGACAGCTAACAAAGTCCCAGGGCATAGAGGAGGAAAGCAAAAGCCACTTCCTTCTGCTGCTACAAGGACAGCTTCTAAAAAACAGCCAAGAAGGACAGAGAAGACTCCGGCTGGTGATAACTTAAACAACCATGCAGCTGACAATCTTGATTTGAACCAAGTTCATTTCTCAAATAATAACATTTGTAATCAACCCAAGAGTAGGCCTTACAGCAGCAACATTGAACAACAAAAAGAACCACGGTCTGTTACTGCCTCTGAAAAGAGACGCACAAGAGGCTCAGGGAAAACAGCACCCAAGTCCAAGGAGTTTATTGAGACAGAATCTTCATCTTCGACTTCTTCAGACACAGATTCCCAGTCTGAACAAGATGAGTGTCCTTCACACAAACTGCAGACCGTAGCCTCCACATTAGCTGGAAGTGACCAGAAACAAAAGGATTCTAGCAATAATAATGGTTACAAAACAAACAATAATTGTGGTGCCTTTGGTTCAGTCAACACCAGAACTAGCAGTGATATAGCAAAAGAGCTGGAAGAACAGTTCTACACGCTGGTTCCTTTTGGCAGGAATGAGCTCTTGTCTCCTCTAAAAGATACCGATGAAGTAAAAGCACTTTGGGTCAAAATTGATTTGACTCTGCTGTCCAGAATTCCACAGCAGTTACCTGAGGAGCCACTGATCACGAACCCGGGAGTTAAAGAAACCATACATATGCAACAGAACATTGCTACTGACCTGCCAGCAGAAAAAGGGGTTCCTAAATCCAGAAGAAAACGAAAGGTAGGCTTTATAAATTGGTCTTTAAAAGGACATTCATAATAGCATCTACTGGATATATATGTGTATCTTGAGATATTTTAGTGCAGAGATGCACAACCTTTGTCTTGTGTTATCTCAGTTCATGGGGGTTGGGGGTAATCAACATCTGCAAGATGGGGCTGTAGCATCACAGTTGAAGTTCTGCCTCTTTTGTAGGTGTGTGCAGTGGCACAGTGTGTGTACAAAAGGGGTGGGCTTTGATTGCAACACCATGCCTGCCTTCTTGCAGATTTTGTCACACCTGCAGATGCCGCTACCTCAACTGAATCTTTTCCTGAACTTAATTCTCGCAGTTGCTGGGGATAGAGCTAAAGTGAATGGAGCCAGAGCAGACATGGTTTGAAACTGGGGTTAGGTCTACATAATCTTAAATGTCCATTTACCATTCCTAGTGGCTTTCTCTATTGTTAAGATTTACATTTTCTAAAAGTATGCCAAAAGATCATTAGAAACAATGGAAGCTTGAACATCTTATACAAAGATGCGATGCTTGAGATAAGTTCTGTATTTCTGCTTAGCATATGGCTATCATCTTATTCCTTTGAGACAGAGTTCTTGTCTCACAAATGGTTTCCGTGAGCTGGCTATATAACATGTGACCAGTTTGAGAAATATAAACAAATTCTTGATTGTAATAACTGGGAACATGATTATACTTTTTTTTACCTAGCACTACTGGTTTATGAAATAACTTATTTTTATTTATGCAATACATTTCTATACCATGTGCTGGGTAATCACATCTCAAAAGGGCTTATCATAAAATTATTAAACTATGATGATACAACAATAAATTAAAATAAGATTAAAAACATTAAAAGATAAGAGGCAAGAGAAATAAAACAAAATTATTCATCTATAACATTCAAAGGATGTTTGGGTTTAGGTGAAGAAAGATTTTTAGTAGGTACTAAAAGGACATAAATACTAAGCATCTCATAGATTTCAGAAGCTATTTTTCACACCATCTATTTTTAGGTGGAGATGCTGTTACCTTTTTATGTAAAACATATTACTTTACCACTGTTCCTTTACCATCTGTTCTCGTGGTTTTGGGAATAATGGTATTGGTGTGTCAAAAGTGGAAGAATGTAATTCCAACAGCTGTATAGATCCAGGCTGATTTAAACCAATGATGGGAATTCTCTTGGTCTTGTTCTAAATCACTCTACATATTGTTGCCCGTTGCTGTGTAACTATCCCAGCTCCATTCCTCTCCACATGGAGATCTGAAGAGATTTCTATCTACATAGAACCCAGGCAGGGCATATGGGAGTGGCAAATGACAAAATAAGTGTCCTTTTTTACATGCACCATAGCATTGCAGGCACATACAAAATGAGTGGAGCCCACATCACACTATCACATCATTTTGACAAAATCATTGGATTCTATGAACACCTCTGAGCCCCAGGCTCACACAACTTGAAACCTAAATTGTTTAAGGCTGTAACTCGTATACCGCTCTGTATGCAAAAACGTCCTTTGTATTTCTGTGTGGATATTAGAACAATAGGGCAGAACAAGTTATGTGATATGGAGAGACTGGATCCTCTTCATGTGCATGATGCGTGAATGAAGTGGACCATAGCCTACTTTCCTTAAGAAAGTAGTATCTAACAATATTGATTGTTTAAACAGAAAGTATTTATTGCCACTATGACTCTGGTGAACAAGAAACATTGATAGTAAAGAAATGTCACATTTCAGATTGGCATGAGTCTAGCCTGCAGCATTATAAAGCACCAACGTAGCAGAACTGCAAGAGTATGAAAGCTCTGTTGTTAATTAGAAGACATACTAGGAGCCAAGGTTGGTGAGAAACAGTGACTCATCTAAAGTTTGTGAAACTGACCCAGCACTTTGAGAGAAAATATCTTAGTGAAGTGGGGATCCCAGCTTTGCTTTGCAGATTAAATTTTATTCAGACAAACAAGAATTTCTTGTGCATGATGAACAGCTTGAAAATAAAAATGTTGAGGACTGTAGGCATAGCCACACAGTCACAGTAAAGTACTTTCCTGCAGTCCATGAACCGATAGAAAAGTAGCAAGTTTTGACAGATGGTTAAGCCCTTAAATCTAACCATCTGTCACAAGTCACTTCCTCTCCAAGCCCCTGCCGCACCCCATGTTCAGGAGAGCAATTGGTGATAATTTTTCCTGCCTGCAGGTGACACTTGCTAGCAGGAGAAATGAAGCCAAGGAAATCCATTCATCACTTTCCTTAACTTGTCCTACGTTACAACTGTAAGGACAGCCTCATTTGTCAGCCTTATACTAAAGCAGAAGAGGGCTTGGCAACAGGCTTTACGTTGGCATAGCTTTCTGCTGGCTTAAGGACTGGCGGATGGCCGTCTGGCTGTGTTGTTTGATAGCAGCTGTTGCCCCTGTGCTTTAGGCACCCAGCTGCAGACAACAGCAGCTAATGGTAGGGCATATGAAAATGAATAATGATAGCGGTTCTTTCTTTGTTCCCCCGGGAGGAAGAAGTGAGGTGATACACTGGGAAATGTAGGCAAGTCTCTCCTTGCTGGAAGTGTGGGACAGGGATAGAGTTGCAATAATATGTTTATAAGAGTAGGGAAGCTTGTGTATACGATAGCTCACTAAGACCACTGAGTTTGAATGGACCTTGTGCAGAAGCTTAATGGATTAAAAAGGACTCCATAATCCACCTCCACTGAGGCATCACTGCTCTGGAATAGATCTTGCAACACATGCTACATTTGCATTACTTTGTAGTGCAATTTTTGGCATGATGCAAGGACCACAAATGGCTTGTAAACAAAGGGGGAGGCTACAAGCCCCTTTTTCTTTGTCGCTTCCTCCACAAGCTGGATTGGGACCTGTATCTTGAAAGATCCATAAGCACGCACTGTTTGCTTCTAGGGTGGTCTGCAAAGGGGCTTTAAAAAGTCAAGACGGCAGTCACAACTGTGCAATGGAAACCCCACTCCTGTTTTTATGTGTGATGCACATACAGAAGGGGCAGGACTGCCATCTTTTTACCCTCCTCTGCAGATGCCCCTGTCTGCTTCAACCATCGACCTCAAAGATTTGGAACGCATCTGAAAATTAGTAATAAATTAACATAAAATGATAGTTCATGTTTCATATTAACTACCAAACTGTAGTAAAATACAAGTTCTGCAAGGCTTCTATAACTTTCTACCAAAATACCATATACTGTATAGGAGGTGTTTTTTTTTTCTTCTGTTAGTATGAAAATGAGGATGAAAACCGAGAGACCAAGAAGATTCACACTGAGCAAGAATGTTCCTCAAATTTGCTTGCTTCAGCCCAAGTTATTTCTACACCAAATCATTTCAAAATCACTAAAAAAAGGTATGTATTATCAGGCCTTCTATTACTCAGTGTAAAAATGATACTTAATATCTAAAGAATAGAAAGTTGTTTGTCAGTACAAATTGGTGGTTGGCCACTGCTAACCTAGTTACAATTACTCAGTTTGATCAACATACTTATGTATTATCACCTTTGTTAACCATGGTTTTGTTCTAGCCAAACGGTCCCAGTAATGAGATCATGGATATCAAGGCCTGAGAAAACATATTTTATGCATACACAGAAGCTCACCTGCCAGTTTATACATGTGTAAAATACCCAAAAACATGCCTCAAATCATTGATTAATGAAACATTGTGCTAGGAATACCACAGTCTGGTCAGCATTTTCAAACTGTGGATAACCAGAATATGCATAATGAGGGCTTTCTGTAATTGATAAATATTGTGTTAAATTGGTTAATTAAAATTGCCACCTTGGCATGAATTTTTAGGATGGAACAGAATATAATCAGAACCTGGTTTGGAATAATAGAATACAAATTTAATAAATAAATAATATTAAAAGTGACTCTCATTAATCTCTAATTTTGTTGAAATTACTTATATTTCCAAAATTATCTCATTTCTCATCTTCTCTGATTTGTTAACATGAAACTATACTGTATTGATGTTTTTCAATTGGCTGGAATGGGTGTTCTCTTAATAAAATAAATTTTCAACAGTGAAGGTGGCAAAAAGGAACCACCTTTTTGAAGTTTTTTTAAGGACTTCATATATTTCAAAACAACGCTTCCCAAAGCAGGTTGATATTTTCCTTGTGTTTTTCTCATATTAGCTATGGTCCTGCTAACATTCTATCACATGAGTTTATTTACTTATTTAAAAGAGTTATTTGGCCATCCAGCTTATATACCATAATCCTGGGCAGCTCAGAAAACAATTAAAAACATCAAAAACCATAAAACTGTAACAAAAACTCCCCAAAAGCAAACACTCCTCCGTACATCTGCATTCCATTCTACTGGGCTCCAGCCTCACCCTACCCCAACGCTTTCAGGAAGACCCAGCTCTTCAAGGCCTTCTCAAAGGCTAGGAGTGTGGGGGCCTGCCAGATCGCAAGGGGAACATTGTTCCACAGGACACGGGCTGCTACAGAGAAGCTGTGCTTCCTGGGTGCCACCAAGGGGACCTGAAGCGTGCCCACCCTATCTGACCTGGTGGAACAGTGAATACCTTCAATTCACTATCATGTTAGTTCCTCATTTTAGTTAGATGGAATCCTATGCAACAATTCATCCTAAAACTTTAGGAGAATCAAAATAAGATAAACTCATGACCTGCATGCCAAATGTCTTGGCTTCAAAAGTTAAAGTAATTAATTAATAGGTGATATGTAAGACCTTGAGGAGCTGGTATCTGTCAGAGTATCCAGAATGGAGTGATGAACTGATTTGATTTAATGCAGTTTCCTATCTTACTGTTCCTTTAGGCTAAGATTTTAATGATGGTGTTGATTTACCAGAATCCATTGCAAAGTGTCTGATTTCAGTCTCTTTCCTGATGTGTCTTTCCCCATGGACTACAGTCCAATGCAGAGACCAACAAAGGCCCACTCCTATTGGTAATGACACAGCATCTAGGAACCTCTGTGTGTATTACGGCTTAAACAGTGTGTATAAATTAAGAAAGGTCACAAAATAACATGGGCATGAGATAAAGTAATTGTGTTTACTATTACATGTGAAATCATGGCCATCAGGGAATAGCTAGCTCAGCTGTGTTTCTGCATAACCTCAGTCCTAATTGCACCAGCTAACTCAACTGATGTGTGAGCAAGAGATCACAGTTAAAAAATGTAATTTGAGTGCTTGGAAAATAAAATTCTGTAGTGGCAGAAATACTTCCTTGGGAGAGATAACGTATCTGCTTAGTGGATATTATTATGACTATGCAAGTGATGTTTGAAGTTTGCTCTCTGAAAAATGGTCTCAAAGAATTTGAAAGAATCTTAAGGAAAAGCCACATCCAACATTAAAAATAGGTAAAAGCAAAATGTTCAGCCACTATCTTGGACTATCATTTGCCTTTTACATAAATCACAATGTTTTATAGGTATTTTTCATTACTTTATACATACCCATCTTGCTATTCCCTTTCAGTCTAAACAACAGTAAGCAAAGCACAGAAAAGAAGTAGGAAATAGCCAAAGAAATTAAAGACACAAATTAAAGAAAAGGCAATATAGCTAAATCTAGTTTATACCAATCTTATTCACTATACCCCTCTATGCTTCTGTATCCTTGCAAACCCCACCCTTCTTTCCACTGTATCCATATACCACTTTATTCATTGTATTTTGTTCTTCAAACCTAACACACTGTTTTTAGGATCTTATCTGTATAAGAGCCAGAGCATCAGTTCCTCTAGACTATGTAGGAGAGGAGTCTATAATGCCTGGTGCCTACAGAAATGGTCCCTCTGAAAAAAAATCACAAGCAGATGATTTGTAACAGAGGACAAGGTGTATTGAGAAAGTCACTAGTGGCTCAAGGGATTGCCCCAAGATACTTCTTAGAACTAGGGCTCTGCGATCTGGGTTACAAAAATCCACATGATAACAAAGGGATACACAATAATCTGTTTTTATCCCATGGACATCCAGATTTTTGCAGCCCAGATCTGGTATTAGAACATTTGGTTTTGTTGTCTTTGTTGGGTTGTTGTATGTTTCCGTCTCCTCAGGCCCTATATTAAATTATTTAAGTGCTAAGTTTACCAAGTGCAGAGATATTCCAGCTCCCTATAAACACATACAGGTAGTCCTTGCTTAACGACCACAATAGGGACTGGAAAATTCATCATTAAGTAGGGTGGTCATTAAGCAAGGCACCCGATTTTACAATTTTTTTGTGGCATTTGTTAAGTGAATAATTGTGGTCGTTAAGTGAATCATGTCATTAAGTGAATCATGCAGTTCCCCATTAAATCAGTGCTTGTTGGAAGCCGGCTAGGAATGTTGCAAATGGCAATCACATGACTCCAGGATGCTGCAACCATTGTAAGTGTGAGCTGGTTGCCAAGTCCCCAGATCACGAACACGTGACCCCAGGGCACTGAGACAGTCATAAGTGCAAGGACCAGTAATAAGTAGCTTTTTTTAGTGCTGTCGTAACTTTGAACAGTTGCTAAACGAATGGTCATTAAGCAAGGACTACCTGTATTCTCTGTTTAGTCCATGTGATTTTATTACTGTGTCTTATAAAAAGGCACTTGTAACTGTAAAACAGTGTTCCATAACCTAAATTTATTTTTAAAAGCTTCATCTTATTTTCCAACTAGCTTTTAAAGCAAGTCCTCATTTCTGAATAAGTACTTTAAGTAGACATTAACCATAGAATTAAAGCTTGCCCTAAAGGGAAGAGGGGGAAATGTGATCCAATTTGCCAAACAACTCTTGATGCTGATGCTATAACACTGTTTCCAGAAAAAATAATAATTAACAGAGTTCATCCTGATGTTAAGCTAAAGCTGATAATGTTTATAATATAAAAATATGTATTTCTCATTCTGAGCATTTTGATTGTCCATCACTGTAATTTCCATTTTTAGTTTGGCAACATCAATAAATAAAAATGAGAAAATGCTTCAGTCACCTAGTTCCCCCTTCTCTGATGCATCAAAGTATAAATTCTATAATGATGATTTAACTTCTGGCAAGACAAATGGTAGCAACCCTTCATCTTCCACATCCTCAAGTAGAAAACACAAGAATGAAATTGGATCGTATCTACATCCTGGAGATTTCAGTGTAAGTTCTGATCACAGTGTATTTAAAGTACTTAAAAATTCATTTTGTTCCTATATAGTCCTGTCCATTAGACTGTTTGGAAAAGTCTTTCTTAGGAGTTTTTGGAGTTTATAGCGTCAGGTGAGAAAACTTTGATTCTGGTGACATCCCAAGTGTGAATGCTGCATTATCATATACCATTTTGTGAACTGGAGAACAGTGCATGGAAAATTGATTTTGTGAAAATCTGCCTGAGACAATATAATTTATATTTCCTCCCTACCTCTTCCTCTCTGTCTCTTTTGGTAGACATTCTCTTCTGATGTTGGGTTAAAACTTCTCCATTAAAAAAATCTTCATTTCTAAAACAATTTTACAGGTGTTTTAACATACTACTTTAACTCTTCCCCAAATTGGAATCTAGAGGTCTGAATAAATATGGAAAAGATATGCAGTATATTGAACCTGCCCTATTTTGTATAACAGTAGGGCTGGCCTTGTCACTTGGTTGCAAGGATCATTCATGGATGCGTGTCCATGAATCTTTCCTAAACTTGTACCCTCTAAGTGGACGGAACACAGCTCCCTTTATCCACAGCGATGGTTGGAAAATAGAGGAATGGTAGTCCAACCCATGTGGAAAACATACAAAAAAGTGTTACACTTCTTATATTGAAATGTCATTTGCAAAGCCATACATATTTCATTATGATTAATCTTATCTTTCTCTGGGTTCAATAGAACTTAAACTTCCTTGTAATCTTGTATAGAATTGTATCCTAAAATTCATAAGATTAAACAGCTCAGGTTGTAATCTTATGCACACATACAGTATCTAGAAGAAAGTTCCATTGAATTCAAAGACATTTCTTTTTTGATAGATGTGTGTAGCATAGGATTTCATTGAAAGAGTTCTCTGATCAAGAGGTGGATTCAGATATATACAGGAGGGAGAGAGAGATCTGCTAGTAGATTTGGTTATTTATTTTTCTCAACATAGACTTGGAAGATTTATGAATAAATAAAAATATCCATACTTGAAAGAGTGTGGTTTTTTATTTTGTTCTGAGCTGAAATTGTTCTCATCCATAAAAAACATTACATGGAAATAGTCTCTAATTTTAATAATACCTCTACAGTTGTTTACCATTATTCTCAATAGCTGAATCCACAATTAGTTCCTGATTGTTAATTTTACTGTTTGTTCAGAAAGCCATGTACATCAGTTCAGAAAATACTCTATTCTGCAACAAGACACAGTGCCAAAAAGAACCGTGGTCACCTATATTGACTGTGCCCAAAACCTGTAGGAAAACAAAACTCATAGTAAACGATGGGTAAGTCAATTGTTTCTTTGGTAGAAATTTCCCTCCCTCCCTCCCTCCCTTCCTTCCACAAACTGCTTCTAGACTAAAATAAAACACTTAGGGCAGTGCATCATAAAAGTACATATCTCTGGACTTCAAATGTACCAATAAAGTTGCCTTCCATATTTGTCAGAAATGCTGTATTTTTTTAAAAAATTGGATATTTATTTACAGACTTAACGTTGCTTTTTTAATGGTATCATCAGTTCAAGAAACATTAAAACCATTGTAGGGAATTATTGTAAAAAACAGTATTGGAGAAAAATCTTTAAATGGCACTTAAACATTTTTGTGTAGTTGATACTGAATAGTTTTTAGATTATGTTGAGCAAGACTATTGGGATTTAGAGAGGAAATCTGGTAAACTAGCCTTTCAGATTAAAAGAATAGTAGCAAAATGATATTATCCTTATAATCAAGAAAATTCAGGTGATATACATAATGTTTTTATATTTTACAACTATTAAGTTGTGTCATATTTATGGTATGAGTGATTTTTGTTGATAAAGCAAAGCTTCCAAAGATTAATCAGATCAAACAATTTACAAGCTGCACCTTTATCTCTATAAGAAATAATTGATTCAATTAAATTACTGAAATTAGGCTCTTGGCCCTGATTGTTTTCTTATAAGGTATTTTATTTTATTATATTTTTTGCTCCCACGTTGTTGGAGGTCTACAAAGATGCTCTATAGAGAAAATTTCTCCCCTCTTCCTTTAGTCATTATTTTATATATGTAATTTTAAAAACAGGTGAATATCTTGTAGAGTGTGTCTTTCTTAAATATGAATGCTAACATTCTGAGAGCTGCTTTGGCTCAAAGACAACAAATTTTGCTATCTTTGTTCATTCATCCTCCACAGCCTGGTTTCATTAAAGGACATCAAGCATCAGATACTAGATTATTAGCAGATACTTGATACACAAACAGGTACATTAGATTCAGCAGAGGTTGTCTTGGACATCAAGAAAACCTGTGGCATACAGATTAGATTTTTGAAATATGTTTTGGTTAAACTTGGTATTTCCTTAAGTTTTGTTGACTGGTGTTCTAACCTATCACAGAGGTTATCTCCAATTGAATTATTTCTTTATCCTTTAGAATGCTATGTGGAGCTTATTAAAGATGTCTGCTTTCACCTCTTTTATTTAAGTTGGTGTTGGAATCACTGGCCTGCTTTAGTAGGCTATATAAGGATTTTCCATGTAGCAGGGTGGCTGAAGTGGAACATAAATATATGTTGATTATATTTATGCCTTATTGATCATTTATTTTATATTTTATTTATAAGATATGTTAACTGCCCCTATCCTGAAGAACTGTGGGCTGTGATAATTGCCAGTGTTCTTTACCAAGACATAATGCAATTGTTTTGCTCACTCACCTAATGTCCTGGCCCAATGCTCAAGGGAAAAAAGAGGTTTTCAGAGTCTTACTAAAGACCAGCAGAATTGGGGCCATCTGGATCTCAGTGGATTTACTATTCCACAGGGCAGGTGCAATGACAGAGAAAGTATGCTTTCTGGGTCCCATCAGATAACATTGTCTAATAGAAGGAACTTGAGACATGTCTGCTCAGTTGGCTGGGCAGACATAATTGCAGATAAGAGATCCCTCAAATAACCCAGTCCTATACTATGAAGAGCTGTGTAGGTGACAATCAACACCTTGAACCTAGAAGCCTACTGGGAGCCCAGGGCAATTCACCTAGTAAAGTTACATGACTATATCAAGGTGCAGCCATAACTACCCATGCTGTTCCATTCTGCACCACGTGCAGCTTCTGAGTAATCTTCAAGCCCTGTGTAGAGCATGTTGTAGTAATCCAGGCAAGTGGTGACCAAGACCTCTTTATCCAGGAACAGGCACATTTGGCACACAAGATGGATTGGGGCAAAGGCCCTCCTAGACACAAGTGCCATTTGCTCTTCAAGCAGGAGCCCAGAGTCTAGGCGGAAACTCTAAGCTGTGTACCAGCTACTCCATCCAGAACCGATAATAGAAAGTTCCCAGATCTAGGAGGGCTCTAAAACCCACCACCACTCAGTCTTGCTGGGGTGAGCCTAGGTCTGTTTCTCCCCATCCATGCCACCACAGTCTCCAAACACCAAAAAAACATATTTTCTAAGACACTTAGCTACAAATCTTAAATTGCAATTCAGCAATGCTATAAATCAGGTTCTTTACTTGTAGAAACTCTAGGATGCATTTCTCATTTAAATTCAGAAAACATTTACTGGAAAAAGATGTTATTTTGCATCTTAATTATTATATGTTGTTTGTGGTGTTTCTGCATAGTTTGATAAATTATTTTTGCCTAATTTTTCTAGCATTATTTGGAATCCATGAAATATTTAGCACATATTTGTTTTGGAGATACCATTAAGTAAAACTTTTTAATATACAAGGAATATATATCAAGCTCAATTTTTTATTATATTTCCTTTCATCCTAGACCGCACAATTTAGATTATTTTATGCAGGAAGCTAAAAGAAAAAAGCATAAAGCAGATGCAATGGTAAGAATGCTTGAATTTCTGGTACATTATTCCAATTTATCTGTACAATAAAAGTTCTTTCTTAGGAAAAATTAACTAATATTAATTTTTAAATCTTTCTAATATGAAAATTAGTCTTACTAGGACAGATTTTAATATAACCAAATATATAAACACTTATCCAAGATCAATTAATAGATACATTTTAGGTAAATTAAAATTGGAGGTAGTACTATTCTTGTTTTTAAAAATTGTACAGGTGTAACACTGCATTAGTGTAGCAGACCCCATTATCAAATACATAATGGGTCATTTGTAGATTTAAATCCTATTTTGTGGCCAGGCCTGTGCTAACATTCTCAGAAGGCTGTTTGATCCAACATTGATTTCCTTGAGCATGAGGAGGATGGAGCACTATTTGCAAACCCTCAGTTTGTTCCATAAGCAATTATGTATGCCTCCCCACCTCCTCAAAAGGCTCCAAAGTACCTTGCACTGTGAAGGCTTGCAAGAGAAAGGGGGAATTTGCCATAATTATCACCCACCCCTTTCATTCATGAAAACCTCTACTAAACCCACGAGCCTTCTGTGAATGCAACAGCATTGGGTACCACCACTGAATACCCTCACATTATCCTTAGTCTGCAAGCTTCTCCTGATATCTGTGGGCCTTAATTTAATGCTAAACATGTGTTCAGTACAATATACATGTAGTATTGCCATAAAGAGTTGACTTTTCCCCCAGGCATTGGGGAATAAGGTTGGAGCCTGGGGATTGCATAGATGAATGGATGTAGATGATGGATTAGGCACCTGGTTTTTCTTGGTTTGTGTTTTTGATTGTTTTAATGTTTGTGATTCTGTTGCGGTTGTCAGCCACCCAGAGTTGTGTTCCACAAGATGGGCGGCCATATAAATAATTTAAATAAATAAACTGCTGATTATTAGTCAGCCAATTGTCTTTATAAACATTTATAATTAGCCATGACATTAGAGATGTTGATTTTTTTTTTTTTTTTTTTGGCCACATTCTGGTCTTGTCTTCCTAAGTTTCCCCTTTGTTCCTTGATTTCTATACATAACTATTCCTGCTTAACATTTAAAAAATTTTTATAGCAAGTTTGAAAGTAACAAAATAAAACAAATTAACTAACAGGGAAATAATCAGCATAAAGCTGTAGTGATCCTCCCAACAGTAGAATAGTAGAAACGAAGTTAATCCTCAAAAACGTTCTGGAAAAGGAAGGCCTTTAACCAGTGGTGTGCTGGAGCAGACTCACACTGGCTCGTGAGAGCCAATTGTTAAATTTTCTGGAATTTTGTGGGCCAGTTGACAGCAGAGGTGAGCCCCATCACTAGCGTGCCAATCAACTGTTCCACAGCTAGCAGCGTGGTGCAGGGGAACAATGGAGCGAGTACAGCCCATTCTTAAACACTTAGCAGTACACCACTGCCTTTAACCAATCCAAAAATATAAGAGGGGGAGGATCATACCAGCTTGCCCTGAAAGAGAACCCCACAGATTTCTGAATCTGAGGATCAGTGAAGGAAGACCTCCTCACAGAGTATTACAGTAAATTAGGAAAAACGCATATGTGAAAAAATGTCCTGAGATGATCAGGGATCAAGCCATTATAGCTTTTATAGTCAAACTAGCACTTTGGATTTTTGACCAGAAATACACTTGTAGCTGACACATCTGTGTCAATATCAAACCAGTTCAAGAATATTGTCCTCACCAATGGACGTGCTGTTGCATTATACACAAAGTAAAGTTTCTGAAGTACTCCAAAGGCAGTCCATATGCCAACAGTATATGAAATTTTAACTCTAGAATGTCTTTACAATATAATTGCTTGATTCCACTATTGTGTTTGTGTGTATGTATGCATGTGCATGTACTTACATGATATAATATACATAATGACCCATTTCATAGTTTAAACCAGCTGTTTGGCCCAATCACCATATGGAATATGTTTCAACTCTTCTTCACATGTCAGTCGTAATGTAAATTAATCCTCAATGAAAGTGAAGGGAGGGAGAAAACAGAGCAGCAGAAACAGTACAAATCATTGAAAGCTGAGATTAAAATGACATCCGCAGGTTTGTGTAAACATGCTTTCAAAAAAGAATGGAAGACTCTCTTCCCACAAGCTTCCAAATGTTTTATCTATCTGTCTATTTCCAGCTTTTCATTCAAGAGCTCAAGGTGGCATATATCATGCTCCATTGTCCTAATTTTTTTCCCCTCAAGGTAGGTTAGGCTGAAAGAGAAGGACTGGACCAAAGTCACTCTTTGAGCTTCTGTAGCTGAGGGTGGACTAGAACCTGGGTCTCTTCACTCCTAGCCCAGTTCTTTAATCGCTACACCATAGTGCCATGTTCCATATGGAGAGCACAGGTATCTGCCATTACAAAATATTTGTTATGATATGTCATAAGAAATAAAATTGAACATTATCCACTATTTACTGATGAAGGGATTATTAAAATGTTGCATATTTCTTTCAAATGCTATGCTGGAACAAAGTGAGACAGCCAGTTTGGTGTAGTGGTTAGGGTATCAGGCTAGAAACTGGGAGACCGGGAGTTCTAGTCCCGCCTAGTAACCAAGCCAGCTGGGTGACCTTGGGCCAGTCACTCTCCCTCTGCCCTAGGAAGAAGCAGGCCATGGCAGCCACTTCTGATAAACCTCACCAAGAAAACTGCAGGTACTAGCCAAGGCAGTTGCCTGGAGTCAAAACACTGACTC